GGGGGGGGCTAGTGGCCCCGGGGCCCTAAGCAGCCGCTAAGTTTGCTTATGCCTTGGGCCGGCCCTGATGTGACACTACTATTACACAGGAGGTTCAAACACGGCCCCAGGGCCAGAAGTGACCACCAAATCTGCTTCATGTGGATCTTAACCTGTTTAAATTACAACAAGAAGCAATCTATAGATAAACATTGGGCTAACTGAAAATGTCTTTATGGATTTTACACCTGTTTTAACAAAGAGTGGTGTCTAAGTTTGGGACTAAATTAGGCCTAAACCTTCTTTTGACAGGTCAGAATGGTTAGCTGTATGTAAACCAACTAAACATATTAGTTTGTAGCATGCTCACTAGTTTTCAAATGTCATTGCATAAGCAAGAAAAAGTCCTAAATGATTCCTCCAGCACATTCACTTGGTACATTATTTTAATATAAAGCACAAATAGTTAGTTGAATGTCATCACACATAAAAAAAAAAAAAACATAGCATACACTGTATTTTTGAAAGCTGATTTTCTTTGGTTGCATTCAGAGCATTTTTCACTTCAATGCGTGGCCCTTCATTTTATCAAGTCAAAATGGCCCTCTGGAAAAAAAAGTTGTCTACTCCTGTACTATTATACAAAAAAATGAAAATTCAGGTTTTACGGGTATACGAATGACTCCTAAATCAAGAATCCATCCATCCATCCATTTTCTTTACCCGCTTATTCCATTTTGGGTCACGGGGGTCGCTGGTGCCCATGTCCAGCAATCACTGTGCGAGGGGCGGGGTACACCCTGGACGGGTCGCAAGTCCATCACAGGGCCACATAGAGACAAACGAGACAAACAACCATTCACTCTCTCACTCACACCTAGGGACAATTTAGAGTTACCAATCAGCCTAACATGCATGTTTTTGGACTGTGGGAGGAAACCGGAGTACCCGGAGAAAACCCACGCATGCACGGAGAGAACATGCAAACTCCACCCAGAAAGGCCCCTGGACTGGGGTTTGAACCAAGGACCTGCTCGCTGAGAGGCAGCAGCTCTACCAGTTGCGCCACCGTGCTGCCCCTA